GCATCCTCTAATATCATTTATGGAAAATGGTTTATATCTGTATAGTTTTATAGTTGCTTTTAAGTAATAATACTCAAGTATCCCCAGAGCAGCATGTGGGGGACCAGCCTCCCCACAACTGAATGGGTACAAGGGACATTGTATCATTGAGGGTAAATTAAAGAGACATCAAACAAGATAAAGCATGCAGGTGCTCACCTTCACCGTCATGACTCCATGAGCCAGGTCCACCCAAAGAGAGCGAGTAATGTAATCTCACCAATTTATATAATCCCGGGCACCCAATGTCACAGTAAGCATGTAACAGGACGGGGTTATACAATACATGGAACAGTAGGGCAGGAGCTATAGGAAGGGGAGGCACTAGAGGCATACATGTGACAGGAAGGCACCAATGTAACAAGATGGGTGGGCTCTAGAATCAAGGTGGCAGCCTAACCTTGGTTGTCAGAGTTGGCTTGACCTTAGGTGTCTTTGGGTGCTCCCTCTGGGGAACAATCCATTCTCCTTCTCAGAAGGATTCTCATCCTACTTAGGGTCAGACAGACAATAGTGCCTGGTTGCCTTAGATGGCTGATAACCTTTAAGCAGTTGACCTCCAAATGTATGGTCAGTGACCATGTGTTTGCAACTAGCACCTTAGATGTGGCATTATTATGGGGGTAGGGGGAACATTGTGGGGAATAACTTTTCCTTAGGAGAATGTGAGTGGGACACATCTCCAACCCACAAATGTAAAGGTTTCCTCCACAGGACCCTTGGCCTCCCAGACTCCTAACGTAGAAATGTTGAGAGTTTGTCCACATAGACCAATGGTTCTCAACCTTCCTAATGCTGTGACTCTTTAATATAGTTCCTTATGTTGTGGTGACCCCCAACTCTAACTTTATTTTCATTGCTACTTCATGACTGTAATTTTGCTACTGTTATGAATCGTAATGTAAAAGATATGATATGCTGGATGCATTTTCATTGTTACAAATTAAACATAATTAAAGCATAGTGATTAATCACAAAACAATATGTAATTATATATTGTGAGATATTTATGTGTTTTTCAATGGTCTTAGGCCACCCCTGTCAATGGGTCATTCAACCCCCAAAGGGGTTGAGACCCGCAGGTTGAGAATCGCTGGCATAGACTCTGCACGGTTCTGTTTCCCACAGCAGCACAAAGATATTTTAGGGTTGTTTTTGTTTTTGTGTTTTTTTAAACCAAGCAAGCAAGCAAACAAGAATCTTCTAAAGCAAAACAAAACTTTTTTTAAAGAATGTGGATGCAGCAAAGTTTAGAAACAATCTCTTATTGTTGGCACCTAGTAATGAAGTGGATGGTGTGGATGGGTTTTGGGGGATTTGGTCTGGGCAGGCCAGGGTGGTGGACTTGTTTACTAAGGCCCTTACCTGGCGTGGGGCAGGGATCCCTTGGCTGTTACTGAGTTGGGGTACAGTTACAGCAGAGTCATCTTCTCTGTGTATCAGGCCCTGCAACGGTAAAACCCCACCTCCATGGCATCTCATGTGAAATATAAACTTCCCACTCAAAGCAGAGGCTTTCTGCCCTCTCACCCGCCACCACCACCCTCTCTACCACCACCACTTTCTGTCTCAGGTTATTTCTTATGCTCAGAAAATGCCTCTAAAAAGGGAACTTAAAAGTCTGTTCCAAATAGAAGAAAGAACTAGGTGACAAAGGACATTTATAGCGGTATAAATACAGGCACATACATATGTAAATATATTTATATATAACAATAGGGAAATAGAGCTATGTACATACATTTATATATTAAGTATTAAGGTAGCAGATGGACATTGGGTCTCTACTCAAGTTCTCCCTCAACGCAAGAACACTTTGTTATACTAATCCAGCATTCTGTGAAGTTCACCTTCCCAACTCAATCACTGAAGACAAAATGGGTGCTTAAACCAATGTGGTGAACAAAGCTGATGGTGCCTGGCTATCAAAAGATACAGCTGAAGATAAACAAGCGGCCATCTAGCTGAGAAGCAACAAAGCCCACATGGAAGAAGTGCACCAGCCTGTGTGATCACGAGGTGTCAATGGGTTGAGTTATCAGGCATCAGAAGACCCCAAACAAAGAATTCTATCAATGCAAATGAGTTGGGGTGGAGTGGAGACCGAAAGCCTGTCTGTAGACAATTGGACATCCCCTCACAGAAAGATCACAAGGAGGGGATGAGCCAGTCGGTGCAGTATAGCACTGATGAAACATACAACATCCCTCTAGTTCTTTAATGCTTCCTCCCCCTAATTATCATGACCCCAGTTCTATCTGGATACATGGAATGTAGGACAGATAAACTCCTCAGGAACAATAATGGGCTTAGTGATACCATGAGTGTAGGGGTTAGGTGGGAGAGAAAAGGGGGGAACAAATAACAATGATCGATGTATAACCCTCTACACAGCATGAGAACAACAGAAACATGGGTGAAGAGAAACAGTGGACGGTATAAGATAAGAAAATAATGCTTTATAATGTATCACGTGTTCATGGTGGGGGGAGATGAGGAGCTGATACCAAGGGCTCATGTAGAAAGAAAATGTTTTGAAAAGGATGATGGCAACGTATGTACAAATGTGTTTGATACAATTGATGGATTGTGATAAGAGCCGTAAGAGCCCCCAGTAAAATGATTTTTTTAAAAGTCTGTTCCAATTTTGACACCAAAGTCAATTGGCGTAACTTAGTTCACAGAGACCATGTTCTACATCTTACTTGTGACTGAGGTTTTGAAAAACGCTCTAATGGCAGGGTGCTTATGCATTGGGCTGCCAACCAAACACAAGGCTCTGCGGTTCAGAAACACCAGCTGCGCCACGGGAGAAAGACAGGGCTTTCTATCCCCATAAAGAGTTACAGACTCAGAAACACCCAGGGTCTACCATGCAGACATCTGTTTCCATAACCCTGAGACCAAAAGAACTAGGTGATTTCTGGCTGTCTCTGTCAATTGTTCTGAAAAGGATCATGTTAGAAAGTCTTGGTAGAAAGGGAGAGAAACGTGGAACAAAACCCAAAGCCATAAAAGCTTCTTTGTGGGTGGACACTGGTGGGACACCCAGGACTATGACCCTTCGTCATTCTTCAGGTCTGGAACTGAGCTCACCCTCCTGTCAGAATAAACAAATGCTTCAAAAGTGAGGGATTTACCCAAGGGCACGGTATGAAACCATTGTGGAATGTGATATGGTGCTACCTCACACAACTGGAAATAGAAATTCCTTACGATCCAGCAATGCCTCTGCTGAGTATACACCCTTAAGATACATCCCTAACAGACTCATCGCACCGCTATTCAGAGCTGCACAAAGTTGGAAAGTGCCCAAAGGCCCACCAGATGAAGAATGGATAAAGAAATGTTGGTACATACACACAGTGGAAAACTTACTCACTGCCATCAAGTCATGGCGACTCTTAGTGACCCTACAGGACAGGGTAGGACTGCCCCTGTGGGTTTCTGAGACTGTCACTCTTTACTGGAGTAGGAAGCCCGGTCTTTCTCCTGGGACGCAGCTGGCGGTTTTGCACTGCTGCCCTTGGTGTGACAGGCTAGCACGTAACCCCTGTGTCAACAGGGCTCCTTGATGCAATACTGTGCATTGCTGAAAAAACAATCTTGAAACCACGAAGCACCTCAGGCCATGGATGGCCCTGGAGAGCATTATGCCGAGGGAAGTTAGCTATAGGACCACTACTGTAAGGATGAAGTCAAGACATAGACTTGCATACCCGAAATAATAGTCTTTGGAAATGACCAAGGTGGGGAGGACCTGGGAGGGAAGATGAAACCATTGACTAGAGGGTTGACAGGTGTTGATTTGGGTGAAAGGGAGGATGGAGAACCCTAAGAGGGAGAAGAGAAACCAGAAGGGGTTGGGGGTGGGGGTTGTATTGGGTAGAATATGGGGAGAGAGGACGTTGAATGGTTTGAACTGTTGAATGCAGAATTGATGATCTGAAATGTAAACCTCCCACTCACTTCACAATAAAAAAACTTTTAAAGGGCGAAATGGGAATAGGAAACACAAGTCGGGAGTAGGGTGCATGAAGGTATATGGAGGATATGGTAATGGATGAGTAGGAACAAAGTGTATGACCTGCTGAGTGTAAACCGATGATCTTTCTGCAGACAAACCTTCACTCAACTCACAGTGAAAAAGTCTGTAAAAATTCATGTGATCCCCAACTATGCGATGATTTCTTAGTGCCCAGCTCTTTTCACAACGTGTAAGAAATTCATCTTTTAACTTCTTAGAAATATGCTTCCTACTCACAACCATAGGCCTAGGAATGACAGAGCACAGATAGTTTTCATCGATTCATTTCAATTCCTTGATTTTTCTGCCGGTTAATAAGTACTTGTTGCTTTTCCAACATAAATGGGTACGTGAAGAAGAGTTGTAAACTACCAAAGAAAAATGTCCCAATTGAAAACATGTTCAAGAAGCTTTTATTATGAGATAACTTAGGCAGCAAAGGGTTAAAGTCTGATGCCGCAGGTCAGGCTGAGCCTCTTCCCTCCAGGGCCAGCTTTCTCCCTGGTGTGGACCAGTTACAAGCTGGGCTGCTGACTCCAAGGTCAGCCGTTGGAAGCATCACCCGCTCCGAGGGCGAGGGCGAGAGAGGAGGCTTTCTAGGCGCATAAGGGGTTCCAGTCTTGGAAACTCACAAGGGAAATTCTACCCTGTTGTGTAGGGTTGTTAAGAGTTGGCATCGACTCAGTAGCATTGAATTTGGGCTTGGAGGGTTTTTTATGTAGGATAACTGCTGTTTCTGTAAGCAGCCTACTGTGATTGACAAATTTTTTTTCCCATTTCCAAAGGTTATTTTTTTTGCACTTTATTTAGTTATTTTATGTTTTTTTTGTACTTAAAACTGTTTTTTTAATTTATTTTTTTATGTGGGTGGTAGTAGTTGTTTGCTTTTTCTGTTGCTAGCTTGTGATGCTAACTTTGGCTCTGTTCTTATTAGGAGATGAAAGCATGGAAATTAAAAAACAAATTACAGGAATGAGGAGATTACTGAATGACAGTACTGGAAGGATATATCAGCGTGTTGGCAAAGAAGGAGAAAAATTAAAAGAAGAACCCCAGGAATTGGATTTAATCTGGCCTCAGCGTTTCAATTCCTCTGCTGAGACCCCACACAGTGTCCGCCCTTCTTCAGGTGGTGCCTGGAATGAGTTACCATCCCAAAGCAGACAGTTCTCAGGACAGCATGGCACGCTGTCTAGAACCTTCCAGAGTCAGCCCCACACCTCAGGAAACTCCAACGGTAGGGATGTCACCAGACATGCAGAATGCATTCAGGGGGGTTTGTCCTGAATGTGTTTTCTTTATAAATGTCCAACATGTTTTTGAGGTCAGTACAATGTATTAACCTTTCCCTAATCACCTTAGCTGAGCTCTTTGAACAGAGAAAACATCAAAAAGTTGAAGAGTAAGAGGGAAAAACAGAATCAAGGATCAGAATTGCATCAGAGGTGAAGCATTCTTGGTAGAGCTCAGTCCTTTCAGAAGTTCAGTTGCCTTTCACCAGTTCACTGGTGAATTATCTGTCATACAGAATGAGACATCAGGAGAGAAAGAGCCCTCTTTTGTTAAACAAAGATGCTTCTTGGTCATGTGATGTATTATTAATAGGCCTTCTCACTTGCTCCTTTGCCTTTCTTCATTTTAGAAAGTGGTTAAAGGGAAGACTGACAGGTCCTGCCTGGCCCCTTCGCTTTACCCTCAAACTTCAATTACTGAATCAAAAGTTACATGTTCTATAACTTCCTTCATTAGTGTTGAAAACTACCCCTTTCAAGGAAACAATTCCTTATTTTAGATCCCTAATTGTTCAGGAAATAGCCAAAGGCAACTTTTTTTCATAGTTCAGGGAAGAAATTGAGAATTCTTCTAGCCATGTTCACTTTCCACCCACTGACCCTGGATATTATTTTCCTATGAATTATGTATGTGTGTGCAGATCTGTCGTTTTCACAAAGAGACCAGACAAACTAAGACTGCTTAGCTGGAGGCTTACACTTCGGTTTCCTTAAAATGTGCGGGTGTTCTTTAAGACAAAAAACAGCAACACACGAACAAGACCTATTTGATTTAAGACAGGAGAAAACAAAACTCAGAATTTGCAGTAACCAGTTTGAAGGCCTGAGAAACCATCAGGAGACACTGCTGAAGGGACAGCAAGAGACCCCAGGAGATGGCCGGCTGTCTTGTCTTTCCCTCAATATTACATAAGCCAATATCAGGTTCACACGCTGGCATGCTTCCAGGTCCGAGGGAGATGGCTCTTTAAAGTCTCCATAAAAATAAAAAAAGTCAGTTCTCTTTAAAATTAGAAAATGATTTATAACAAGTTGAAAAGGCTTGGCTTTGCCTCTCACAGTGATAAAAATAGTGCTTAGAACAATGACTAAGGATATTCTATAAGGCCCTCTTAACTCTGTTGCCCCGGGGACAATGCTAGGAACAGTAAGAGATCCTGATGGATGGATGACGTTTAGTAGAGCCTCCAGCAACAGTTTTCTCTCTTCTAGCTCTCAAGAGTGCTGGATTTCCTTTGGAAAATGTTGCTAATGTTAGTGAAAGCTAGAGATATGAATTCCCTCATATTATTGTGAAAATACAGCTTTTATGTTTATTTTTTACAGATTTTCCATAGAAGTACATTAACCTATAAGCAGTGTTACTTTGATAGTCCATTGAAATCACTTGCAGTTGTAAAGTTAAAGCTTCTCAATGTGCTGCAATTTAAATTTAAATAATTGTGTTATCTCAGACATTAATTTAACTTTCAGTACTTCATTGCTTGTTGTGAACATTTTTTCATAGTCAACAAATAATGCATATTTTAAGATTTAAATTATTTTTAATTTGTAATACAAGATATAATTGGAACAAAACACTAGAAGTTTCCTCTGCAAGATAGAAATGATAGCTGTCTCTTAAAAAGACACATTTTAAGATAGTAGGGGATGAATACTGCAGGGAAGTCTACTGTAGGAGTGAGGTTTTCCAAATGTTCTATTTTATTCCAAGAACAAAAGAAAGAATTTGTTTACACATAAGAGGAAAATAGGAAAATTTTACCCAGGAAAAGAGATTAAATTTTAAAAATGAAAAAGATACTCAAGGTGAGGAAACGGTACAAAATAGGAATGAAAAAAAGATGTAGGCCCTCCTTTATTACGTTGGAGAAATGCCAACACACCAGCACCCTCTCACCTATCATGTTAAAAACACCACCCTGCCAGACCCTGCGCTCACTCCCCCCACTGCCCCACTGCAAGCGTGCTACGCTCCAGAAACATTCTAAACGTTTTCATTGTGTTTATAGTTCTTAATTTTTGAAATGACATGCTTAATATTAAAACTTTTAAAAATAATTAGACTCATTTAATTCTTAATATGAACTCTTATACATAACTACCAGTTTCTTATAAGGTTGTTTTCAGCGTCCCCTCCCCTTCATTTTTCCCCCTTATACAAAGTCATATGCATATGTTTATGGTGAATTTTGATGGTATTGTTATTTGAAGGGAACTGCTCTGACAATAGGCAGGCCTGCTGAGAGAGGGCATTGTGCCCATTCACTCCTGCAGGCTCCCCCACCCTGGGAAACAGCATGCATCTTACAATGTAGAAGCTTGGAACATTGGATGAAGGCAGACCCCAAAATTTAGAGTCTGAAAATTATTAGGTACACTTTCCTTTTGCTCAGTTTCATAATAATTACATGTGCTTCAAAATTCTGTCAAGATATCTTTTTTTGGTTTGTTTTTTGGAGTGTGCCATTCTTTTCTTTCATGCATAGGAGAACTTCCAGTGGTGACCTCGTCAAGTGGATCAAACTGCTGCACTTGTAGCTGCCAGACAACCTTGCAAGCCATTCTCCAAGAACTCAAAACCATGCGGAAATTCATGCAACTTCAAGCAGGTACAAAGATCAAGCCTCGGAACGAGTCTTTTCATTTGTCGTGCACACCTGATCTCTTTCAGTTGGGGTGTTTACTGGAGTTTTATAATGTAGCTCTTCACACCTTGCTAGCTTGCTGGGCTCTCTCAAGTGGCCATCTTCTCAGCTTTTTCTTATAACCGTTCTTTACAACCCACGTTTCCTTTAGGGAACGGAACAGTTTTTAAAAATTCCCCATAATACTGCATGCACTCAATATATGTCATCCCATGATCTCTTAGTACTTCACAAATGTCAGTTCATTAAATTTTGGGAGGAATACTACAAGAAGGTAGGTAAAGTTCTGGTTTGCCAATCAACAGTAAGGTTCACATCAGGGAAGAAGATGAAGACAGCGTCTTTCAGATCCCGCCGTGCTTACGCTGGGGTCTGTGTACATCTGAACAACCCCTACTACTGCGTGGGTCATTGGGGGGCTTGAAGCAATGTGAGGGAAGCTGCTGTTTTTAATATATGTGAGAGAACGAGCCAGTCAGGAAGTGCTATTGAACATATTCAAGAACATAAGACCTGTTTGACTTTGCCTCAGACCCTGTGTGTGGTCTCGCTGTCATTCGGGATAGAGAAGCTATCTTGCTGATGGTTGAAAGACACCTCTCGCCTTTTGTATTCTATATTTACCACGACTCTGTTGGCTTTTTTTTACTGTTAAACAGAAAGTGAAGAACAAAAGAACAATGAATTTATCAACTGATGGAGTTCTCAGCGCCCCCTCTTGCGGCGTGGTTTATCTGAGCCTCGATTTTCCCATCTGTAAATGGAGCGTTCATATTGAACTCACAGGGCTGTTTTGAAAATACAGTGAGATAATAAGTATATGTGGACTTTGTAAAGCATGATATAAACATAAGCTGTTTCTTTACTGATGTAAAGACCACGGAACATTGCAGGGAGATTTGGAAGTCTAGACCTTCATTGTAGTGGTTATATTTTATAGTCTCTTCCGCTTTGGGGGTGGGATAGGAGGAGAAAACCAATAAATCAAGTTACCAACCTGTCCCCCTTGTCAAGAAAAAATGTTATTTGATCTGAGCCCAGCCCAAGAAAATAGAGGACACGGTCCTCATCTGGCTGGTATTCCCACCATGGGTTACCTGCCATGGGGATCAGGGAGGTCACCACCCAGAAACGGTTCGTGGTGCCATTTAGTGAATGCTACTAAAATTTTTAATATTCAGTGGTGTGATTTTGATATAAAAAGCTTAATGCTTAAACCCGTCAGTCACCCAAGGTCATATTAAAGTAAGGTGAGCAAAAAGGTCCCAAAAAGCAACATCATTTTAAGTATTGAATTTGGTTTTATCCCAAGATAAAAGAAGCATTTTGCTCAAGTCAGTAAGCATCTGAATCACCTTGTTCCACCACAATAATCTGGGTTCTTATTAACCTGGCAAAGGTTAACATTTCCTAAATAAGGAGCTCAGAGAAAAAGGTTACTTTATTATGCACGAATTCTTTTCTCAGCGGAAGAATTTGTTAGCACTTAAGAAAATAAAATACGCACATGAACTTGTAATGATTTATTTTGTTGTTTAAGCTCCTTACTACTGAAATGGCAAACTACAAATTGCAACCATTTAAATCCTTGACTGAAACCTTTTTAGAATCTATTAAGTAAATGCCACTTTGTCACTCTGTTTTCTTTTCTGAACCTCAGCAGATTAGGGCAGTAAACTATTCCAAAGCTGTACGATAGCATAAAGGATAAAACTGCATAAATTACTCTTCTTTAATTTTCTTAACTTACAAAAAAAAAAGTTTGTATTGTGTGGGCAGATTTACTTAAGGTCTGTTGCCTGTAAGACTTAGATTTAAATGATCTGACAAGTTTCACCTTTACTTTAGGGAGAAAACCAGGAATAATAAGATCAAGCGATAAGACCTGAATACAAGAGACAGGGGCTATGTCTAGACTTGAAGGAGACCAAAAGCTCAGCTAGTCCCTGTGCTCCTTGAGCCTAAACCGGTTCACTTTTCTTAGCGCAGTGAGGCCTACAGGGCGCGGCTCCTGGACCAGTTTGGTAATTGCTTCTGCATCCTTTTGACTATGGGAAGTAGACCCAACCTGGGGTAAAAATTCAGATGGAACAGAGAAAAGCGCTCCGCTTGGGCCTCACCCTGGGGAATTCCTCTCACTCAGTCTGGGGTGGGGCTGAGGCACTGGGAAACTCTTGAAGCTCCGGAGTACTGTACAGCCGAGGCTGAGAACCACGGACTAGACTGCTACATGAATCGGGGAAAATCTATTCAGTGCTCATTTGTAGTCCAAATAGTACATTTCTAGTACTTATTTAAAATTTGTTTTCTAGTCTGGGGATGAGGATTTTAATTTCATAGTAGATATTCTCTTATTTTCTAACCGATTGGACATATAAGTTAGGGAGAATGTCTCATGTATGTGCATTTTAAGATCTTTAGTTTTTATTTGTCTAACATTTATAGTAGTTCTTCTATAGAAAGCAGGCATATCTTATGGTGGTCATGTTTTGTAAGCCATATTAATATGAAATGGCTTTGCAAAGTGAAGATAATGGAATTTTCCCATGGATGATTTGAAGCCCCCTCATATGTAAATAAAAATGCCGTATCTTCCAATTAAATTGCCTATGCAATTATGTGGAAAATGGTTAATACATGTTACTTCTCAAAGTGCATGTGTGAAAACTATAATTAGCATCTTTGACTTCTGTAAGCGTACACTCAGTATTGGCCCATCTTTTCATCTTTGGAACTCAAAACTGTTTCTGAATTTTACTAATTTGCCTTGATGAGTACGGAAACACATGCGTCCTATATCTCAGCCATGCTGACTGAGGTACAGCGAGGTAGCTTGGTCTGAGAGCTGTCAAAATACAGCTGAGGTGTGGAAGACTTGGGGGGGGTGGTAAGGCATTACTGAACCTGAGGAGTGAATAATAGACTTGTCCACATGCTACCTCGCATGATAAAGGCGGTGAAAAATCCTGCTGTTATTAAAAAATAACCTAGAAAGATAATTTAAGATTTAGTTGGTTGGAAATCCAAATTGTAACCGTCACGTCCTTAGAGTAAAAATTCCTTAAAAAAATTCCTTAATCAACAAGGATATTCTAACTCGGGCAGGTGGTAAGCAAGGCCCCTCAAAAGGTAGGTAGGAACGAAGCGGCTCCCCTTTATATAGGCAATGGAGCGTGATGCTTCAGGGAATGATGCTCTAGCAACCCCTGTAGAAATGCAGTTATAATTTTCTCCTGTGATCATTGCAAACCCTACTTTTTGGTACAGGGTTTAGAGTATAAAACTTGCTTGATTTTCACTGGGTTTTTGAAGCAGTGTGGTGGTGGCATACTCAACTGTTTCTGTCTGTCTGATGGCTGCAGAATAAACTTGCAAAAACAGCCTGGTCTCTGTCTTTGGCTGCAACAGTGACAGGGAATCCTGGACCCTTGTACCTAGGCTCTGGTAAGCCAGTTTCAAGAATAGGTCAACCCAAATCACAGTTGAAACATTTCTGAATTTGGCCTTAAGTCTAGAGATCTCATCATAGAATTTCTAAAATCCTGCCCAACTGTTTTCTCATAGCGCCTCGCCCTCTCCTTCCATCGAACGGCAGTCCCAGGACTTGGAATTATTCGCCAGTGTCTGAAGCTAAGTTTTCTCTTGGGTGGCCTTTGTAAGACTTAAACCAGCGTTTGGTAACCTTTTGGTCTCCAGTGAAATTTATTTGTGAGTGAGCCTCATTTCCATGTATCGCGCATGTAGGTAAATGGGTGGTACGCTTTTCAAAGTTAGGCAGTGCCTGTACCATATTTGTGTTTCCTGTTTACAGTTGGAACTCAAAACAGGCAACAACCTCCAATTTCCCTTATATGCTCCCAGCGAACCGCTGCCTCCCGCAAGAGAAACAAAAAGAAAAAAGTTCCCCCCAAGACTGTTGAGCCTCTTCGGATGAAGCAGGAGCCCAGTGTGTTGGAGATGGAAAAGAAGACACCGGTGGCCTCTGAGCAGCAGTCTGGCCTCCAGGTGGCCGAGCACCCCTCCACTGAGGAGAACCACGTTTTAGGATTTGGCATTGTTCTTGAATCACCTTCCTCTGATGTAAGTTGATATTTTATGGCTGCAGACGCTAGTGTGATGAAGCTTTGAGGAATTTCAGAGTATTAAGACATCTCGCCCGTCACCAGTTCTACCCAGAACACTGGAGACGCGTGCAGAATACATGTGGGAGCGGGCAAAGGAAGATGATTAATTCCCTTGCTGGAAATTTTCTTTCCCTATAAATGTTATGCCTTATTTGTTTAAATGTGTTTCCACTCGTTATTTCCAAAGGAAGAAGAATGACAGTAAATAATCATCTCATGGATTTCTGTAACATTTAAAATTTTGAAGTGGCAGTTTTCAATTTCCTCAGTGTAGAGAGCTAAAAGAACATAATTAAATTCTCTGTAGATGGGCATAAGTGAACAGAACCATACAGATAAGGTCACACCTTTCTAGAAACACAAACTACTAATAAAAAAGGAGCACTTGTGCTAATTCTATTTTATAGATGCAAGCTACACTGCTAATTAGGTTGCAGTGCCATGCCATTTACTCTGCGTAATGATAGGTTAAGGCTCTGCATAGGGTTTTCTATTTTAATATCATAGCTAGAGAGCCTTTGCAGTCAAAGATGTTGGATGATGTGTAGATAGCCCTCTGACTTGTTATTTTATATTCATATGACCATAAACTGATTTCTTTAATGGTGTGCTATGTTTGCAATTACATCCTATTTACAGGATTTTTTAATCTAAGTACATTTATGCTGGGAACCCCAACTTGCTGGGGGAGTTCTTAAAATAAACGAGGATGAGTGATCTATTATTACCCGATTGCATAGGATAAGAACCCTGCTGAGAACTCCCACAGAGCTCTATAGGTTTGGAGTTGGCCCTACCTTTTTAACTTTAAATAAGAAATAAATTGCTATTGTTTTTTAGAAGTGTTCCCTTTTTAAGCTAGAGAGACAATTTGCTAGCATATATCCAAGTTGGATCTTTAATAGAAGGAGGCAGCAAAAAATAGTCGTCTTGTGATTTTGGTAGACAAGAAAATTCATATGAACTTTTAACCAATCCTTGGTGCTAAAGGGTTATTTTTATTTATGAACATGTGACTATTGTTAAATTCTTCTAGACCGAAAAAAAAGAATCATTTTTCAAAAATCATTAATGACTGTGTCAGTCAGCTCATTTGGTTATATCATTATTACAGCTAAGGCCCTGGTTTTAAGCTCCATATAGATGGCATACTTGGAAAGAGAGGTAAATTATTTTGTAATGCCATCCATTCAGTCCTCAGCAGTTTGCATAATACCATCTTATTTCCTTGGACTTCTCCAAGCCCTTTTTTTTCCTGATAGGTTTTGCTTTATCAGAAGCACTCGAGTTGCATAAATCATTTAGCAAATGGGTAGATCTACTGGCAATGACTAATGTTTCTAAGCTGCAAATATACACAGAAGAGGAAGATCTGAAAAGATCTCTGTGTATTAGTGAAATATTTGGAACCAAATAGAACTTTATTATGTTGACCAATATGAGTATGATCATGTTATTAATTCATGGTTATTTTAGCTAGTCAGAGTTAATACATTTGATAAAGCACATTCAGAAACGTTCCTGAAAACTGAAAACAAAGAAAACTCAATCAGAAGTTGATCGTATTTCATTGAAGGGTAACATGTTTTTAAAGAAAAGAAGAAGAAAATGTTGATATCATCTTTATATTATCCAGCTGATATACCAACCAATTAATCTATTCAACAAAAACGGTAACTTCCTCCCTGGGGAAGCATCCATTGAGTGCCATCATTGGAGGTAGACATTTCCAATGGATTCTGTACACTGCAATCATGGGCCTGGACTGCAGAGTCTCTTAGGGTGGGTGGGAGACTGACTCCCTTTCGGAGGAGACCTAAAGGTATAAAAATATTCAGATTTAGTCGCCTTCTCAGTCATCAACCATCTGAAATTCAGTGCAACTCCAGCAAAGAAAGCAAAAAATGTGTAAACTTATAGAAGTTAGTGTTTAAAAACAAATGGGGAGAAAATACAAGTGGATAAGAGTGACATCTTTGGAGATGAGTTCTGGAAAGTACCCGGCACTGGAAAGATGTCTGAAGATGTAAGCTTGAGAACACGACCCTGTGTTGCTAAAAACAGCTGCCTGATGTGGATTGGTAGCAGATAAAGACATAAAAGTAGGATGGAGCCAGATCGTGAAGCCCTCATCGGTACCCTGCTGAAGCCCTGAGCCTTTCTCTTGTAGACACTCAGGAGCCAAGGCAGGTTTCACGTAGAGGAAGAATCATATCTGGGTTTCAGAATGGTAGCTGGAGCAGCAGTGTCAATGATAGATGGATAGAGAGGGGTGATGCTAGAGACAAACCCAGAGGGCATGTAATTACTGTCAACCAGGCAGGTCTGTACAAGGACAGTGAGCCCGAAGAGAAAGAGGAATGAGAGACTATTAGGAGGTACCCACACAGAGGATTTGGTATAGAAAGTAAAACTAGGTGGGTGACTGGGTGGTAATGGGTTTGTTTTGGGTTTGTTTGTTTTTAACCGAAATAGAGGAAGCAAGAGCAGAGGTAGGCTTTCAGTTCTGGATGAGAAATAAAAGTAAGTTTAATGCCCTTAAAGGCTCATTGGCTCTTTGGAGGACAAGAGGAAGATTAGAAACTTGGAAAGGTGAAGAATGAAACATGAGGATATATCAAGAAGTGTTGCCACTAGGATTCCAATTCATGCTCATACAGGCTTATTCCAAGCAAACATATTTAAACATGTTTTTGCAATCAGTGGATGGCTGCAGACAAGTTTTCTCATTAATGTATTTGTCTTAGTCTTCTTAGGGTATTAAAAAAAGAGAGGCTACTTTTTGTGCCATGGGGAAAAAAGATTTTGAGGTCAGGACTAATCTTACATTTTTAACACAATGCAAGCAGACAAAACTTTGTAGGTTTGGAGCAAGTGTATGGGAATGCTGCCCTGTAGAAAACTACAGTTCTTAGATGGACCAGGTATTGAAGGAGGGAAAGGTCTCAGCGAGGGATTCAAAGCAGCGAGATCCGCTCAGAAGGTTATGGCAACTTGTGTTTCGGATTACCAAGGAGGGAATCTTGATAGATTTGGAGTCGAAGTCGATGGCTTGCAGTGAACAAAGAGAGTTCGGTGGGCTTATCTTGGTAGATCTTCTCAGAGGACACAGGACCCTCACCAGTGGCTCATAGGAGGAACTTTTAGAGAAAAGTGACATCTGCATTGGTGAGGAAAAGGCCAAGACAATTGTGCCAAGAATTTTTTATTCCCATCACAACAACATACCTGCAACGGCTGTCCTATGAGAATTTTGTTGAGAAGCCACCCCATTCACCAGGCAGCCCTGATCTTGCCCCTTCTGATGGATTTTTGGGTCTCCAGGCTCCACATTTAAAAGAGACGTGATCTGAGTCCCTTGAGGATGACAAAATAGCTGTTTTGGTGTAGTGTAAGTCAGAGAGCACAGGATCCTTTGGGGAGGAAGTCAGATGGAAACACTGCCTTCAGAAGTGGGTAGACCCGAGAGGAAGCGATGCCAAAAAACTTCACCTTTTTGATCCTTTTACTTAACTTCATTTATTGTGTTTTTTTAAAATCATTTGATTGGGGGCTTGTACAATTCTTATCACAATCCATACATACATCCACGTGTCAAGCACATATGTACATTTGTTGCCCTCATCATTCTCAAAACATTTGCCTTCTACTTTAGCCCTTAATATCAGCTGCTCATTTTCCCCCTCCCTCCCCACCCACCCTCTCTCAT